AAAATTTTGCAGGCTAAAAAGGTTAATTGAACGAAGCACAGCTCACATTGAAAGTCCCCTTCAAACCAGCTGCTTTCTGTGGGTCAACGCTGCAATTCACGCGACCGTCTTCATCCTGATGCTGAATTCCTGATTGTGTGGATTTTCTGTAAAATAAAGTGCTCTGTAAAATAAAATAGTAGTTATTATTGTTACTATTATATTCAATTTTGTTGTTATAATGAAATCATTTTATTACAATAATCAGGTATTTTATAATATCTCATTCTGTTTAATGTCTTTATTTATTAATAATAATAATAATCAAAATAATTATTTTGAGTCATATTGATATACAAGCACAAAGTTTTAGGCCATATTGTGCAGCCCTAAAGACGAGCACAATAAACCTGAAATCACGTTTTAAACCACAGTCGCAATTTTTTAACCGGAAAAATTGCAATTAGATTTTTTCCCCAAATCGTGCAGCCCTAGTTACTGTAGATTTTCACTATAATTATTTTCTGTACTTTCCTGATTGGGCATATTTCTATTGAATTAACTTGGTTTTGCTTGCAAAATTTACACTACGTACATTTTTGCTATGATTTTTTTTGTTTATTTAAAACAAATTATATATATATATATATATATATATATATATATATGCCATTATTATTGTTGTTATTATTATTAACACGATGATAATACACTATGTACATTTTTTGCTATAGGTTTTTTGATTATTTAAAAGAAATATATATCATGCCATTATTATTAACACTATGATAATACTACACTATGTACATTTTTGCTATATTTTTGTGATTATTTAAAATAAAATATATCATGCCATTATTGTTATCATTATCATTACTATTATTATATTAAGGCTGCACTACATACATTTGTGCTATAATTGGTGAGATTTAATATTATTTATCATACCTATTATTTATAATGTGGGTGTGTTATTAACAAACATGCTTATCACTGTTGTTGTTTTTGACATTATCGTGATTATTATTAATATCACGTCAAATTTCCTGATTGCATGGATTTCTGTTGAAATGACTGAATTTTGCTCGCCAAATGTTGCCAAATAAGGGTAAATGTGCACAATTTTTTTTTAACATCAACTATATTTTGCCTTTTTTGAATGAATAACATGAATGTATGCAAAGTAAGCTATGAAGAGCTGGTTTTTGTCCTGCAGATCTGCATGTGGAGGGTCTGTTTCGGGTTCCTGGGAACAGCCTGAGACAGCAGACGCTGAGAGAGCAGCTCAACAGCGGCGCAGACATCGACTTCTCCTCCGGTGACTTCCATCCCAACGATGTGGCCACGCTCCTCAAGAGCTTCCTGGGAGAGCTGCCCGAGCCCCTGCTGACCCAGCGGCACCTGCACGCTCACCTGAAGATCACAGGTGTGTCTGATCAGTCCAAACCTCACCCATCCTGCCCATCACTGACCGCTCATAATCACTCTGCACCTGCGTCTGGACAGAGCTCAGCCTGTTCGACGATCACGGCAATAAGACGAGTCTGCCGGATAAAGAGCGTCAGATCGAGGCACTGCAGCTGCTGCTGATGCTGCTGCCCACCGCTAACCGAAGCCTGCTCAAGCTGCTGCTGGACCTGCTCTACCACACCGCCAAACAACAGCACAAGAACAGGATGTCTGCGCACAACCTCGCGCTCATGTTCGCCCCCCACGTCATCTGGCCCAACAACGTGCGCCATTCCTTCTTCCTCCTTTCTGTTTAATTGTTAAACGTGCTATTTTGGTATCATTGAGATCTTTTTGGTTTTAGAATTTCAATTTTTATTTTGGTTCAGGCACCATGTTTCATGTGTGATGTGCTGCTTTCTTCAGATGAATGCCACTGACCTTCAGGAGAACCTGACGAAACTGAACAGCGGCATGGCGTTTCTCATCAAACACTCACAGAAGATCTTTCGGGTACTTTTCCCATCACACTTTTTATCTGCACGTACTGATGAGATGGAAAACAACATCATATTTACGTGGCACAGTGTTCTTTTAGTATTATCTGTTTGCTTTTATAGTATTTATTCATATTTTTGAATAAGCTTTGATTTCAGTTTTTAATTTTACCTTTGTTGATTTTGTAGTTTTGTCATTTGTATATATTTTTATGTAAATATTTATATTTAATACATTTTTATTTCAGTGTTTTAGTAAATTTAGTATTGATATATAATAATTTTATTTTCAATTACTTCCCAATGAAACGCTTCTAATTTGATGTGCTTTTTTCATTTTTATGAAGGTTTTTTTTATGTGTGTGTGCTTATATATACAGTATATATATATATATATATATATTTAAAAAATTTTATTTCAGCTTTAGTTTAGTTTTAATTTTAGAACTCAACTTTTTTTATTTCAGTTACTAACATTTAACCTAACATTTCAAATTTTGTAATGTGCTTTTGTCATTTTTATAAGTTAAAAAAAATATATATTTTTAGCTTTATTTTTATTTCAGCTTTAGTTTTAGTGAATTTAGTACTTCAACTTTTTTTATTTCAATTACTTGCCAAAGAAACATTTGTAATTTTATGTACTTTTGTATATATTTTTCATATTTAGCTTTATTTTCATTTTAATGTTTTATTTGAATAATTTTACTACTTCAGCTTAAACATATTTCAGTTAGTTTCTAAGGAAACGTTTCTAATTTTCATTTCAAGTTTTTCAAGTTTAGGTTTTTTCATCTAATATTTATATTTTGATTTGTTTCAGCTTTGTTTAAAATATGATTTGTAATAGTTTTAGTTACCAGTAACAACACTCACATGACATTATCTTCTTTAAACATTTAAAGCAAGTTTAGGAGCTTTTGTCTCCCTGATTGTCGAGTCAAATCCGTGTCTGTTTTCTTCTCCTTTGCAAAGGCACCGGTGTATCTGAGGGAACATGTGAGACTTCAGTTCGCAGACACCAGCATGATTCACTCCAAGGTCTGTGGCATGCGTGTTGGTTCTTCATTGACTGCTTTATCCACGAGTGTGATCATGCTCTTGTGTGTGCTGTCAGGATGATCTGGAGCTGCTGTCAGTCGGCGGTTCTCCGTTCATGTCGGCGTGGAAGAGGAGTGCAGCACGAGTGCGGTCAGACTCGGACAGTCACACTGAAGAGGCGCTTCGAGAGCTCTATCGACACGTCACCCATCACATGCCAAACTCCGCCAAGAAGAAAAAACTCATCCGACAGGTGACGGCACACTGCGTCCTTTCATGGGTTCATGTAGTTTTATTAAACTTTTTTGTTTGTTTTTTCAAAAACGACAAATATAAATTGTTTTATTATTATTATTTTAATAGCAACAGACCTCTTTAGGTGGCTTTTTAATTATGTTGCCATTCATGTTTACAATAATTACATTGTGTGGGGTTTTTTAAACCCAATTTTATTTTGTATTAATATACTGATTACAAGAGACCACTTGAGTTTGCTTTTTAAAAATATATTACTGTTCATTTAACTATAATTATTTTATTTAAAAAAAAAAAGCTAAATCATGCTATTATTATTACTATTATTATTGACACTACAATAATACACTGGATGCATTTTTAGCTATAATTAGTGTAATTTTTAAGTTGCAGTTGACTCTGTTGCGATAAGCATTATTAACATACTACAGTAGATATAGAATTAAAAAAAAAATTCTCTTAGTGTGCATTTTTGTTATTTATTTTGTGAATCATTTATAAAAAAAAAAGTGTAATTTTATAGTTCTTCTCTAATCTAATTTCTGCTGTGATGATTGTGTCGCTGTTAATCATTTCAGCTTGGCAAGCAGTCGACTCCTGGCACTCCTGTGAGTGAGAACACGACTCCTACCAGTAAAAAACACACGCGCTCGCGCTCCTTCGGTGGGCTTATCAAGGTCAGATCCCTATCTGCTTCAGATGATAACACATAAGTAATCAAAGGTGATGGTGGCATCTCTCCAAGCTGTGTGTCCTTTAGTTCAGTCTACTGGCAGCTACAAAGTGAGGCAGCAAAGTAGTTTAAAGGGGCTGTGCTATAAAAACACTGCAGCATTCAGTGTGTGAAAGAGTGCATGTGTAAGTGCATAAACTGTGTGTGTAATGAGTGTTACCGTGTTTAAATGCAGAAGAAGGTTTTGGGGAGCCAGCCTGCCGCAGACAGGAGGGGGAAGGAGAACATCAGCTGTGATCCAGTGAGCAGAATGCCCTCAGCACCGGGTTCAGGTCAGCAGCAAGTTTACTGATCACACACAGATGCGTGCCATCAGTTATTTACTCAAGGCTGGAAAACACTACACGACTTTTCAAATCTGAACAGATTTCAGTAAATCGGGGGAAAATGGGGCAAAAGTCGTGTAGTGTATTCTAGCCTTTTTTTGTTTTTCTTTCATCTTGGTTTTGTTTTATGTTGTGTTTTCTATTTGCTTTTTGTATTTTAGTTTTTATTAAATTATTTTTTTTTGCTTTGCTTTTTTTTTTAGTTTTTCAAGTTTTGTTTTAATTTTATTTGTTTTTAAATGTTTTAGTCCGTTTTAATTTAGTTGTTTTGCTTTTGTGTTTTATTTAATTTCATTTGTTTTTTTTGCTTTTCTTTGATTTTGTTGCATTTAGTTTTTTTGCTTTGGTTTTATTGTGTTTTTGTTTTGTTTCAAAAGTGTGATATTTATTTACTTGTTAAATTTTTTTGTTTTGTATTATTTTTGTTGTATGTTTCAGATGTGTGAATTTGTTCTAAATATCATCTTGATGTCTTTTGTTATTATAAATGCAGTCATTATCTTGTTGAAAAAGGCTCAATGCATAAATCTCTGCTTATTTTCCAGTGCCTTATATGTCTATATTGTGAGTTCTGCCCGAATAGAAGACTTCACTCTAGACGACCAGAGGAGATAGTTTATATTTTAATTATTTATTTATTTAGTTTTAACATACTAAAAGTTGAGACTAATTTTCATTTAATGTGTGAATTCTTTTTTTTTTTAATTCGCTGTATGGTTTTAAACTGTTACGTCAGGTGTTGATGGGTAAACCACTAGTCAGTTCCTCTGGCCGTTTAAACTGACCCATGATACGATTAACTCACTCAGCTCATTCATATTGCCGGTGTATGTATGTGTAAATATATTTGCGTGTGTGGAAACGTGTGCTGATGTCTGGACCATATGTAACTCGCATTATTCACTCAGTTTATGCTGTAATCAGATTTTAAGGGAACGATAGACAGCATTTACTCACAAAAGTGTATTACTGTCATTTAGAGCTCTGTGAGAATATAAACTGCTATTTGTTTACATATATAGATATTGTCTTAATAACACTGTGAACATTTGAAATATGGTATTTTGTGACTAGAACAGGACAAATGTGCCTTTTTCTTTTACCTGATGTTGCTTTTCTGGTGCAAATCATCAGCTTACAAAAGTTTCCATGTAGTTTAACCACTAAGTCAAGAAGGTTCATGTATTTTTGTATAAAAATTAATTTCAGTGTACGGTCATTTTGTTTTCATATTGAGAAGTGCACAAAGCAGCCATGTTTCTTTACTGAAGGTTGTTTTAGGTTTAATTTCAAGGGTCTTTGCGAGGTGTTTCGAAGGTTTCTGTATGTTACTAGTGAGGTGGAGAGGATCACGGGAAGGATGCAGTGGTTGGTTTGTAGGTGTTCATAAGATCAGCGGGTATGTGGTGTGTGTGTGAACTTCAGTGGGCATTAAAGATGTGCTGAAAGGAATTAAAGCGTGCTGGTTTTATGCTCCTGGAGAGCACTGTGACGTCACTTCCTTTCATCGTCCATCATTTATATTGCTCTTCCAGATGTGTTTGGTTACAGGCGCTGGCCAAATGCACATTCCCTCGACTACAATGGGATTTATATTTGACTGATGGTTTGCTTTTTCATGTTTTTTTTCCTCCCGTTTTAATGCTCAAACTCAAATGTTGCTTATCTAAATCTATATTTTAAGCCTAAAATGTTGCAAAAGGGGTGGTTAAATTGTTGAAATAACTGGAGCTATTTTAAAACATAATTTAGGCCAGTAAATAAAGCATGCAAGCTTTCAAGTTTAATATTGCATGCTGATGGTGGACTTTACAACTCACAAACTGGAATACACGTTCACAATAATCTGCGATTCCTGAAGTGCTGAAGAAAAGAGGAGCTCAATTTTCTTAATTTTTAATAAATTAATCATTTTTAATGATTTGCATTGTGTAATTGTTAAGTGGGTGGTTTTATGCAAGTGTGTGTGTGTTGATGGGACATGTGGAAGTTGTGCAGGTTGGTATCTGTTGGAAATGATGGGATGTAACATTGGGAAAATCATTGATTTGACATAAACCACCTTTTCTTTTCTGTTACAGTAGTTAAAACTGGAGCATTTGAAGCATTTGTACTTGACCTGCTCTAGTACAATGAGCCCTTCTGTGTATTTTGTTTGTTTTTGTTTTAATTAAAACTTTTAGCAGCTGAATTTGTCCATCTGTGTACGGAGTGATCTCTTGTGCTGTTTGTGCGGTAGTTCTGTCCACTAGAGGGCGCTGCCGCACAGTTAATATTTATTTATTTCTTTCTTTTTTTGGTTTCCAACATATACCCTTCTGTGTATTTTGTTTGTTTTTGTTTTAATTAAAACTTTTAGCAGCTGAATTTGTCCATCTATGTGTACGGAGTGATCTCTTGTGCTGTTTGTGCGGTAGTTCTGTCCACTAGAGGGCGCTGCCGCACAGTTAATATTTATTTATTTCTTTTTTTGGTTTCCAACATATACTATAAAGGTACTGAACAAATATAAACTACAAAAAATAAATAGAAAATATACAGTATTATATAAATAATAATACAGGTAAAACTATGAGATCATCATATAAATAACAGAAAAGCTTCACAAAGAGACCTAGTGCGTTTTGCTTTACTGTTTTTCAACCCAAGTAGTAACTCAATATAATTTTTCATATCTATCTGAAATAACAAAAAGCTGGGTTTTCCTTTAGCCCATTTCTGTTTATGCATATGGTATTTGCCCATAATCAAACAAAGATTAACAATAAAGGCCACATTTGGTGGTAATCTTTGTCTATTAAAATAAAAAAATACATCTTTTTCAGAAAAGTAAACTTTCATGCCCAGGCATTTACAAAGGAAACATTCCAAATCCATCCAAAACATTTAGCTATAAATGCAGTTACAAAATAAGTGCACAACATTTTCTTTCTCAGTCC